TTAGTCAGTGGAAATAGTAATGAGAAACGAACAAGGTAAAAGTATTGGTCGAGAAAAAAAAATAGCATGGTTTCTTATAGATTCAAGAAAAAAATGACTGAGACTTGATAATTTCTTGGTGGAAAACTATAAGTGAGAGGAAAGAGTGAATATCACAGATGAAAATCGTACCCACGCGTAGATGGGTTTGTCCTAAGCGAGAGAGAACTAAATTAGTTTTTAGGAATAGAGAGAAGAAGTTCATGTAAAACGCCAATAAAAACATACAAACTTTTAGAAGAATTATGAAAGCATTACAATTCTAAAAATAGAATTTAATGATTTCTAAAGAAATAAATACCATTGAAAGTTGAATAAGATAATGGAGGTTAAACATATGTTACAAATGTTGAAAATGACAAAAAAAAGATAGGAAAAGTGTGTATCGAGAGAAATACACTAGAAAAGCCATATCGCCAAGCGGTCAACTAAAGCGAAAACCAAAGGAAAAAGCAGCAAAGTAAGTCCACCCAGAAAGCTTGCAGTAGATGTAAGCAGTGACCGTCGATTGCGAAAGTTAGCCGCATGCAATTCAGCCAATGCCACCACTTGGGAATAAGAAGGACCTTGATGCCAGCAGAGATTTTGATCAACGCTCACGCTGACCAGTTCAAAATGCTCCTCAGAATATGTAGTAGAAATATGTGGTGACGAGGTAACAGCCGAATTGGTTTGGCTTTTATGAATGGGTTCAAGCAATTCCGACCCGCTAACGACCTTATTACAACATGGGGATAACTCCATTTTGGTTTCTATTAAATTCCGTCTCACAGGAAGAAAAGCGAGCGAAGTTACGAAGATTGGATGCGCTTTTGGCACCGAATATACGTTAACTAACTCGCGTACAAGAGGCATAAAGCTAAAATAGAAAAATGTATAAAAACATGATGATGAAGCAACAATAGATATGATAACATCTCAATCGTAGGTTTTGCAATTTAATAAGCAAACTAATAATTCGGTTTAATTTGAATGCGATAATATAATTGAGGTAATGTATCGTATAGAATAAAGTATACAGCAGAAACATAAGATTTTGGAAAAATCGTATGCAAATAGTCTATAATTTAAAGAGACTTACAGATAAACATCGACCCGACCTTCCATTGTACCAATTGCACAAAGTAGTTGGGACCTACTAAAGGGATGCACAGCGATGCAGGCTGGCAAATGTCCCTGAGCCATGCTAACAGTAGCCACGCACTCTGCAATATGAGTTTTTGATACTTCTTCATGATTTAAAGGGCTAGTATCAATAGAATCCTTAAGTTTTTCTGAGATATCTTGCTTGCAAAAGCCATTTGGTAGGGCTGAATTATCTTCGAAATGAAGAGCATATGGAACTACAAATATTTTTAGGTAACTGGTGCTCTTGGAATTGGGGACCACAGGTTGGACGGTGGCCGCCAGAAGACAATGGGGGGTTGCAAGTAACGCTGTGTTTGTTTTGTGCAAAGATTCTGATCCAACTTGTGAGTGCTTTACTTGACTAGATACCCATGGAAAGAAGCGACAATGCCTAAATCGGTATGCCTAAAAGCAAGAGAATAAAAACATAAATTATTTAAGCTAAAAAGAAGGCTTTTGAAGCATTTAAGTCAACACAGAAACCAAAAGCTAAATTAAAAAATAGAAGTAGGTTGACCTCGTTGTCGCATCTTGGTCTTGTTGTCCGGGGGACTTAATAGAACGCACCTAATCCGAAGTCCTCTGCCAGAGTAGTTATCATAATTCCCAGCATCAGACAGTAGGCTTGGTACATTCTCAAACGTTTCGTCAAGCGAATCATGGGGGAAAATGGATGAACCAGGAAGATAGGAAACGAATCGTCGAGACCGAGAGGTTAATACTGAAAGAAGTTGGATCTAGCAAATTACTTAAAAGACTAAATAGGATCAACAATACCGGAAAAATGGGGGGAAGAGAGCAGGAGACCAGTGAGGAGTGACTAAGCCTCACAATATCCACTCAAAAGGGCACATCTCTTAAGTAGGCCAGAATAAATAATTTAACAGTTGTGATAATGAAGTGATGAGCTATAATATGGGATAGATTAATTCATTAGGATAGAAGGAGAGATATCACATATATGCAGCAAAGATGGACGTAAAGACCAACGAGGAGCACTGACGGTGTGGACTAGGATGCAGGCGAAACGTTTGAGAATGTAGCAAGTCCACGGTTCAACGTTTGATATTATCAAGAATACTAAAAAAGAGGACTAGATACAAGGTGAGGTAATTGAGGATGCCCTGACAACACAAGCAGGTTATGTACTCATAAGTCTCGAAAGGCGATTTTGTGTTCGGATAGCCTCTTATTTATTGGTCGATAGGTCTTGATCATATACACGCTACTACATTAATACAAAACATGATTTGCAAGGGGTAATGATGAGCTTTTAAGGGAAGGCATGACTAAGGACTCATGCCCTATTCCCTAAGTAGTTTACTTAACTTTTTTGACAACTGGCAGAATGGCAACATCAGAAGCCTGAAGGAAGAGTTGTCCAATCCTTAGTTTTGTTCTAAATATTTATTTCCTCTTAAACAATGTTGCGAAGTAATCGTTAATAAATTCCAAGGTATAATTGTTGAGCCAAATATTTTCTTAGCTACCTCTGATAATTAGATACACGGGGCGGAATAGGATATACCAGCAAATAAAAGGAGGGTGCACTAACATATCGTCTGCTTTGGACGTTATTAATTAACTATTAACTAAATCATGAAGAATGCATACACCCAACTCACATGGATCCACTAATCTAAAGCACGCGTCATATATGCAAAATTGAAAGATAGTTTATTTATGTAAGGAAAGAGCTGTTATCACATCCATTCCCTTTTCATGTATCAAATTCAATCACCTCAATTTTGCAGGGTAAGCATGAAGTAGTCAAACAAAGCATGTAATGCCTCAATAGGATCTTTTCATAACTAATTTTATTGTTCCCTTAAGTGGTGTCTGAGATGCGTATAATGCAAATATAACCAGGTTTATACTGTGCCTTCACAAAATTTAAAGGCCGACGAATTTGCCTCTGGTAAAGCAGATCAACAGGAATGCATTAAACATTATATCAAATATACTCTCAAGGGTAATGGGGAACCGATGAGTCATAAATGGCTACAAATATATTTAAAAATATAAACCAAGTAAAATGGGGGTCGTGATACAATAAGTTGCTCCAGGAGAATTGCGTTCTGTTAGGAACACAGCAAAAGCTTAAGAGCTCTAATGGAGAGTTATACTAAATAAATGTAAAATATCTGCAATCTGAGTAAATTTCGTTAATGAGTAAACAAATATGCTGCCATACGATGAAATGATAAATACAAGTGATCCTATGTACACACATTTTTTAGCGAATGGTTGAGTGCCGATTTCGTTTGGCACTTATGCATGGAATTTCGTGGTGGCAACCATCAATGAGGAACAAATTATGAATAATCTTGTTGAGAAGCCGTAATACTAGGTTGAGCACTACTTAGTGAAGCTTGGTAGATACTTAGCGGAATATACTTGGATGAATAGCTTTAGTTTTTAAGTCGATGCAAATGGACAACTGGCAGAGGCCTGTTGCATGGCTAATCAACTAGTCGGAAGCCCCTCCCCAAAAAATAATATGAAGTACTACCCGATAGTCATCATGCCTACTCTTTCATTGTGTTCTCAGGGCAACAAGTATTTGTAAGTGTATGGTCGAATTGCATCAAGAGGCAGTTTCCATTTCAATGAATATATCTTTTCCCCAGTAATGAACTTTAGTTCTTGCATAGTTTAATCGAAGATATGAATACCAGGATTGCGTGGTCATTTGTATGATCGCGGTTTCCTTTCGTTGTATAGAAGTTGTTTAACCTTGTTTTCACAACTTGGTCATATTGGCAGGAAGACCTAGATGAACGCACCTTGTCCGGATTCCAGACCATGCATGATAATTTCTAGAGTTGAACCGTGGACTTGGTTCATTACAAGACGTTTCGCTGGCATCATCAGTGAGCCTTGCCATTCCTAGCCCCACACTACAACCCGACAAAGACAAGTGAAGCCGATCCTTTGACAAAACGTGTGCTAAACATTTGTGATATCTCTCTTCTGTCCTGGGCTATTCACCCATCCTATGTCCTCGTATCACCACATCATTATCACAATTTTACTTGTTTATCTGAACCTATTTAAAGCCTATTTACACTCTCTGCTGGTTTCCACATCCTTCCTACTGTGCCGGGAGTGTTGATCCAAGGCTGCGGTTTAATTCACGATCCTCTCCATTCGGGCCATACCAGAGTCCCCTCTTTCTCCGCAGAATCCTTCCCTTATCTGCCTTTTTCAGTTATCTCACACCATCGCTGCCACCGTATCCATCCTACTTAAGGCATTATATTCTACTCTCTGCCTCAAGCCTTTGATAACACGTATACACTACCCTCACTGAGCAAGCCTCTAAAGTCTGGATTCTCAATTGGAATGACAACTTAACTTGACGCAGCAGATTCCATCATCGCTGTGCGGCATGTGTACCGAGTAAATTTCGTGGTCAAGTCCTTACTGCATGCACCACGTCTATGAGCAAACTTATCTACTAAAATGCCAACTAGAAATGGCCACTACCGTTTCTCTCGCTTTTCTGTGACTTGCTATTGCGTGCCAACCACCAAATGTGATGGTTTTACTTGATATGAACAGGCTCACTGTAGACGTCTTCTCTTAGTTTCTATTGTTCCTCTCTGGTCTGCTTGTAATTTCTTTTCCTAGAATTAAAAGTATTATCTTTGTCCAG